ATGATGATTTTTGCATTTTGTAACAAAGAAATTGCTTTAATTCCTTGAATAAAATTCACTCCAAAGTCCATTTCTTCCAGCACCTTAAACATGAAGCCCCAATTCAGGTTGTCAAAGGCCTCTGCATCTTAAAAAATTAAAGCAGCCTGTTTCTCATAATTGAATTGTAAATATTCAATAATATTTAAGACAGTCCTCACACTATCTCTTACCTGTCTTTTCGGCAAGAAGCCTACTTGGTCTTCATGTATATATACCTGTAAAATCTTTAGTCTTTCTGCTAGAATAGTAGCAAAGAGTTTATAATCATTATTTAGTAATGAAATTGGTCTATGTTTCTTTATTTTTGTAGTGTCTTGATCCTCCTTTGGGATCAACACAATATTTCAATCAATATAAATAATTAAATCAAAAGGTACATCAACAATTGCCAGGAATAGTTGGATATGAAGTAAATTCATTTCTGAGCCCCAAGTGCAACTCAGTTTTATCAGCATTAGAACAAGTTGCATCATTACTGTTTTGCTAAAGTCATGGTTCCTGCTTCTCTAGGAATTTCTTTTCCTATCACACAAACTGGTTTTCTGTTAGTTGCACAAACTGGTTTGTCAGCCATAAATTAAAGAGATATTTTTGTCATATTTTCCTTGGTAATTTATAAGCCTAACATATAATACATTTCTTTCCATTTCTTTTAATTGTTTGCATTTTTAAAAATATATTTATTGGTCCTATCAAATCAATTTTGATTTCTAGTGACTGCCTGGATACATCTCTGAAATTTTCTTGCCAGCATTTTCAGAAGTGTTTTCTTCCTAGGGCTGAGAAAGAGGGACTGATCCAAGGTCATCCAGTGGGGTATGTGCCTAAAGCGAAACTAGAACTCATGCTAGATCAAAACTGAAGCCATTAAAACCCCCAGACTAAACTGAGTCTTTTAATTGTTGTGCTAGGGCATTGTCTAAGAAACCCTGAAGACAATGGGAAAGCACCTCAGGAGAATAATGTGAATTCATTAGCTTGTGAATGTCCTAAGCTGTGAACTAAATTAGATCAAGTTAAAATCTGGCCTTTACTTAACCTTCTTCTTTTAACTTTATATTAGGTTATGGCTCTAAGTAATATTTTCTTCAGGAAGATGTCAAAAATGGATCACTTCAGTATCCTTGCTCTTTTAGTGTTGTGGCAACATATAGTGAGGACATGGCTCTTCTAAAGATTAAACAGCTTAACTGCTTCAGATTATTTAAAAACCCCTCAAGATAGCAACTATGATCAAAGCCACCGTCTTGACTCTTCTATGATACCTTGGTATCATTGTTTTTAGTATAAATCTAAGAGTTTGATCAACTGTAATCTGTGTACTGCATGTCTCTCATTGAAACATAAAATGTATTAAGTATGGGCAGATTGAAGAGGCAGGACACTGATCAGCAACAAACAGCTCTTTATTCAGTAGATCATACAACCCAGTAACTTGCCTGTCTGACAGCTTGCCCTTTTATAGGGATCTTTCAGACAGCTCCACCAATGAGATTCAACTATTTTCCCCACCGGAATGGGGGACCTGAGTGAAGCCTACGTTCCTTGACTTCACTCCCTTATTAGAGTATTCAGCACTCCTCCCCTCCGGGATAGAGCATTGCCCAATCAGTGACTAGCTCAACTGATGTAGTCACACAGGTAGGTAGGGCAATGGTGGGCTCGCTCTGACCTGCACAACTCAGTTGGAGCAGCAGCGGCAATCTGCTGCCACTCCTGAGTCAGCCAATGGAAATGCCTTGAACTTACTCTGGGGCATGGCTGACTCCTTTGGAACCAATTCTCCAAGAGCCCTTCACTGGATTCCTGGTTCCTCAGGTGCATGTACCCGTTGACTATTCGGGTTTGATTCTACTGTAGGTGGAGTTTCAGGTTGTTAATTTCTAGACGGACTTTTTTCATTGAAGTTTTTTCTGGTTGCGATAGAACAGAGGGTTCCTAGGCGACCCTGGAGTTGGTCTATATGCCTCCTCCATATTCTACCATCCTCTAGCTCCACTCTATTTGAGCAGGAATCCAAAATGGTTACCACCTTGGCAAGGACCCAGAGAGCACCCCCAAGGGCAGTTGTGGGCATACACCAATTCCCCTATGCTGAATGACTGGAGCTCTATAACACTTTAATGACCATCTCTGCCATTGTAGAGGTCATAAGTATTACCTCAAGCCACTTCGAGTAAGCATCCACAATTACTAGAAATGTCTGGCCTTGGAATGGCCCCACAAAATCAATGTGCACCCTTGACCAGGGTGCTTTCATGTGCCAGGGCAGAGGGTGGTGCTGGTCTGGATTCCTACAAGATGTACAAGTAGCCATTCAGCTATTTGCCCATCCATATTTGATCACCAGACATAGCTCCTGGCCAGTGCCTTCATCCTGACAATGCCAGGATGCCCCATGTGCAGGGCTTCTAGCACTGGTTTCCTTAATTTTGGGGGTACAATTACCTGGTCCCCCCACAGTAGACAACCCTTTTAGGCTGAATACAGTTGAATCAAACCCGAATAGTCAACAGGTACACGCAACTGAGGAACTGGGAATCCAGTGAAGGGCTCTCAGAGAACCAGTTCCAAAGGAATCAGCCATGCACCAGAGTAAGTTTGAGATGTTTCCATTGGCTGACTCAGGAGCAGCAGCAGACCTGGCTGACCAGGCCACCGCCACTGCTCCAACTGAGTTGTGCAGGTCAGAGCGAGCTCACCGTCACCCCACCTACCTGCATGACTATGTCAGTTGAGCTAGTTGCTGATTGGGCAATGCTCTATCCCAGAAGGGAGTGGTGTTGAATACTCTAATAAGGGAGTGAAGCCAAGGAATGAAGGCTTCACTCAGGTCCACCATTCCGGTGGGAAAATAGTTGAATCTCATTGGTTAAGCCGTCTGACAGCTCCCTATAAAAGGGCAAGCTGTCAGACAGGCAAGTTGCTAGGTTGTATTGATCTACTGAATAAAGAGCTGTTTCTTGCTGATCAGTGTCTTGCCTCTTCAATCTGCCCATACTTAATACTGGCGACGAAGGTTTTGCCCTTTCCTAAAGAATGCAATAAATGCTGTACAACTGGCATGGGATAGGCACTCTGCTGTAGAGCCTTGTTGATCATACATTTGTAGTCCGTGCAGTTATGGACTGAGCCGTCAGGTTTTATCGGCATGACTATAGGGGTTTCCCATTTGGCATGGTCTACTGGCTCCAAAACCCCCTGGGCAATTAGTTGTCTAATTGGCTGTCAATTTTGGGCTGAAGGAGATGGGTGTCCCCATATACTTGCCCAAATTCCTGCTGAAAATATCTACAAACTCCTTGACCAGCTTGTCCGTGCTGTCATCTTGGATGGTGTGGATGCCAGTCACCCCCAGGCCCAGGGATGCAAGCTGAGCAGGCTTGGCAAGGTGCCGTCCACCCCGGTCAGCTTTAGCGGCCCGACAAATTTTTTAAATTTGACTTGGAAGGTTCCGCTCCCTATGACAGGGATGTAGTTCCCTTTATAATCTTTTATCTGCACCTGTTGAAACTTTAGATGTTTCTTCGTAATCCTTGGAACCGCCTTTCTGATGGTTGCTCAGGATATGATGGACATGGATGACCCTGTGTTGACCTCCATGTCACATGGGGAACCCTCAGTGAGGACCGTGACATGAATTTTCTTAGCACATGGTGCGCTTGCCTGCCCAATGGTCGTCTGGTAGGTTTCTTTTGGTTCTGTGGCACAATCTTCTCTTCGCCTGGGTCTCCGGAGCTGTGTCTTCCATGGTCCCGTTTGGGGGATAGGCTGCTGTGTGGCTGATTGGCACAGCAGACCCTTGCCAGATGCCCCTTCCAGTCACATCTTTGGCAGATGGCATACTTGAACCTACATGTTGCTCTAGGGTGATTGCCTCCATAGCCGGCACATATTGGCTACCTATCATCTGCCTTGGGATAGGCCTTCTTTTTGGAACAAAGGCGGCAGACCTCATCTTCCTCATCAGTCAACTCTTCGTGCTCTGTGCTCTCTCAGTGCACGGTGACAGCTCTGTGCGAAGATGGCAGGCTGCCCATCTTTTGGATGGTTGCTGTCGACCTGTTCAATGACTCTACTGCTCTGGCCTTGTCTAGTGCTATCTGCAGTGTGAGGTTAGGCTTTGCTAACAAGCACTTTTGTAGATTGATATCTTTCATGCCACAGGTGAGCCTATCTAACAGGACTTCATCCAGCTCTCTGAATTCATAGTACACCATGGCTTTTTTTAGCACTGTGATGTATTGGTTTATAGTCTTGCCTTCATCTTGGTTCCTATTGTTAAATTCATGCCACCTAACTATCTTAGATGGCACGGATGCATAATGTGTTCAGAACGTACTCTGGAGTGGAGTCCAGGCCACAGTCTGCACGGCCACTGGGTCCGATAGCACCTTAGCTGTTTCAAAGACTTTGGGGCCACAGTAAGTAAGGAAGAGCGCACTCTTCCTATTGTCTGAGAGTCCCAAGAGGTCATTTGATTCCATGAAGCATTCAAAACGGACAGTGTAGGAGTCTCAGTTCTCCATGGCTGGGTTGAATGGAGTTGGTGGGGGATGTGTGGTCATCTTTGATAGGCCGATGCAGGTTCTCGATAAGCTGTGATAATGGCCACTAATGACTTCGCAGATGCCCGGCTTCTGTCCAGCACTGACTGGGATCACGATCTTGATCTTTTTTTGTTAGTCCTCTTCTGATCCCACCTTCGTCGCCAGTATTAATTATGGGCAGATTGAAGAGGCAGGACACTGATCAGCAACAAACAGCTCTCTATTCAGTAGATCAGTACAACCCAGCAACTTGCCTGTCTGACAGCTCGCCCTTTTATAGGGAGCTCAACCAAAGAGATTCAACTATTTTCCCGCTGGAATGGTGGACCTGAGTGAAGCCTATGTTCCTTGGCTTCACTCCCTTATTGAAGTATTCAACAAAATGATATATCTATTTTTTTGGTGCAGGCACAAGACTCTCAGGTTTTGGAGCAGCTGTCCAAAAATATCACTCGTATGGGTCTGACTAACTTCACTCTCAACTACCTCAGGGTAAGCTATCTATGATTGGTTTCAAGCATTACTCCTGTTCTTTCTTCACCTTCAAACTGTGCATGCCTTCATCATCTTCATGATTGTCACAGCAAAAATGTTTAACAAAGCTTAGTTTTCTGGAAACCTGATATTAATCTGTTTGCGCCTCGTTCTACTTAGTGGTTGTTCTCAACAAAGAGATACAACTTGGGTAGCCCAGTCAGAAGATGGGGTAATTTTTAAAAATTCTAGGACAATGAAATTGCCTCTTGTGTTGCCTCAGACAATATATGCTTTGTTAACACCATTGCCTTTCCAAAGGATCATTACAAAGTGTAAAATATAGCATTCTTTTTTGCATGGTTTTATTCTCTATTATGCAATTGCATTTACCTCCTGTTTTCTCATGTGTCAAAACAATGTGCAACACCTTGTGAAGTAAGGCAGGCTGCAGACTAGTAACTGGCCCAAAGGCATTCAGGCAAGTCTTCTATTTGAATGGGAACAGTTTGGTCTAATGGTTAAGGCACCAGGCTAGAAATGAGGAGACCGTGAGTTCAAGTCCTGCCTTAGCCATGAACGCCTGCTGAGTGACCTTGGGCCAGTCATTCTCTCTCAGACTAATTCACCTGACAGGGTTGTTGTGGGAATAATATGAGGAAGAAGGTATGTTAAATATTCATTACCTTGAGTTATTTGTAAAAATGATAAAAACACTGAAGTGGTCCTAATTCCACACTCTGGAACATAACATACACTCCACTACTAAGTCTTTCCATCCCCCACCCCCGTAGTTTCTTTTCAGAGTAACTGGGGAGGTATTCTGTACTTGGAATCAAGACTCAGTAAGTAGGTGAAATGAGTAGCAGGATATCTTCCCATCAGTGGTGGGATTTAATTTTTTTACTACAGGTTATTGGGTTATTGGGCTGCCGGGCTGCCTCTCAGGCAGACTGCCAGGCCACCTTTCAGCCGGGGGCCCAAACAATAGAAGAGCCACCGGGGTCACTTTTTCTCACAGGCAGGGGTTGTCGGTCAACTGGTCAGCCATATTATCTCTTGGCTCTTGCTGTTTTGCACCAGTAACATTGTTTTTTTGTGAGGAGGAAGAGGTGCTGTAAGCATATACAAAGTGCTGCTGTCCTTCTGAAAGGAGTGTTACACAAGTGTGCTCTCAAGTTCAGTTTATGGTCACTCACTCACTCACTCACTCACTCATAGGCCTGGAAAATTGCCACACTCAATCCCAAATCAACTGAACACTGAGGCACAAGCAATTCATTAAAATATACAGACCCTCAGTGAATTTAAAAATACAGCAAATTTTTACTGATATATTTTTGCACTTACATGTAAATACACTCTCTCATCCACACTTACACAGCATCTACTACTTGGCTGCCAGGCACTAGCCAGAGGGATGGAAACTGTCAAGTCCGGGATCCAAAAAGAACTCAAAGGCTGGCCAGGCTTCAGGACCTCTTTTTATCCCAGACTTGGTGGGGAGAGGTTTCCCATGCAGGCTATGGAGGGAGGGTGAACAGGGAGGGATACCTGAGGAGGAACACCTAACTCGCCATGGTCAACTTCCCAAAGCCAACTCACCATGGCCATCTCGCAAAAGGATAACTCACCATGGCCAACTCGTGGAACAACTTTCCATGGAACAAGAGTTACACTAATATTGAAGAAATAGTGGATTAGAATAATTAAAGAAAGGATGTCAAAGGAAGGACAAAATGAAATGTGAATAACAAAAATTAAACAAATTTTTAAACTAATTTAAAATAATTAAATTGAATTATTGAATTATCTCGTAGCGAGGTATCCGGTGGTGAGTGGGTAGGCTAGGGTGAAGGGGCTGTGGTGAAGCACTAGGGCAAGGTGGCTGCAGAAAATTGCCCTAAACCTTAACCTGTCAACGCAGTTCTGGTATCCAGAGCTGAAAGCATTGTGTTACATTTCCTTCCAGTTTAAAATAATTAATTCTTGATTATTTCAAATATGTTTAATTAAAAGTTCCATCTTCACATGACAGTTCTTTATTTTGTGTAGCTTCAAAATTAATATTTATTGCAGCATCAATACACCTATGCGCATCCATTTGGCCACAGTATCTACAGGTGAAACTTGAAAAATTAGAATATCGTGCAAAAGTTCATTTATTTCAGTAATGCAGCTTAAAAGGTGAACCTAATATATGAGATAGACTCATTACATGCAAAGCAAGATGGTTCAAGCCGTGATTTGTCATAATTGTGATGATGATGGCTTACAGCTCATTCCAAACTTACAACTTATTCCAAACAGGCACAAACACTATTTATGGAAATGTCCAGAGGTCATCTCATTTTCTAAATTATGGGGAAACCCCCCACACACATCTTTTTAAAAAATTTCATTAGAAGTACTTCTTGGGATGCCTCTTGAGAAAGGCTAACATGCATTGGAGAGTATCAAATCCAAAGGGAGTGGAATTTCTTCCATCCTTTTTCTGACATCCAGTGCTAAACTCTTTGAGGGTAATCACTTGGCATCCCCAGTTTAAGCAATCTGTGACTCTCCAGCCATGCTGACAGGAGCTGGCAGCTCAAATTCAGCAGCAGAGTCAAGGACACAGGTTATCCAATACTTCTGTGTATCACAGATGACACCTGCAAAATTTCAAGGGAGGATTTTAGTTTCCTGACTTAATTCTGCCTCCTGGAGTTCAGAATTTGTAGAAATATGGTGGGTTTATTTAAGTATTTGTTTATAAAATTTAGTGGACACCCATCTAACCATAAAGTAACTGTGGGCAGTGTACAGTCATAAAAATGTATCTAATAACAGAATAACAGAGTTGGAAAGAACCTTATAGGTCATCTAGTCCAACACCCTGCCCTACATCATTTCTGACAAATGGCAGTCCACTCTCTTCTTGAAAGCTTCCAGTGCTGAAGCTCCTAAACTTCTAGAGACAAGCTGTTCCATTGGTTGATTGTTCTCACAGTCAGAAATATTCTCCTTATTTCTAGGTTAAATCTCTCCTTGATCAATTTCCATCCATTATTCCTTGTCTAGCTTTCAGGTGCTTTGGAAAATAGCTTGACCCCTTCCTCTCTGTGACATCCCCTCAAACATTGGAACACTGCTATCATGTCTCTCCTGGTCCTTCCCTTCACTAGACTAGCCATACCCAGTTCCTGTAACCTTTCATCATATATTTAAGCCTCAAGTCACCTAATCATATTGGTTGCTTTTCTCTGCACTTTTTCTAGAGTCTCATCATCTTTTTTATAGTGTGGTGACCAAAATGTCAGAGTATATTCATGAACTGGAATAAAGCTTGGTAACAAGGTCAGCCAATGAATAGGCATAGCAACTAAGTCAGCCAATGAGGACTGTTTTGGAAACTGAAACTAGAAGTAGCCTAGGCTGGAAGCTGAAGCCAAAAGTAGCCTAGGCGTGGCTCTATGTTGAGCTCTGCAGCTCTGAAGTTATGTTGAGCTCTGAGTCTGTCTATTGAAGATGAAACTAGCTTGGTTGCTTGCTGAAGACTGGAGCTCTGCTCTGAACTTGCAACATGTTTGTCTGAGTTTGCTCCATGTTGGAGAAATCTATAACTGGTTTGTAAAATCTACTTATGTTTATAAAGATATTAAATGAAGTATCAGCCATCTGTGTTTATTTTTCTGGCGCTGAATTATCGCTGCAAAACTCTCAATACAAAACAGATGCAATATTCTAAGTATGGTTTTACTAAGGCTTTATAGAGTGGTATGATCTTGATTGAATCCTCTGTTAACCTAATGTAGGATTGCATTGGCTTTTTTTGGCTGCTGCCACACACTGTTGGCTCATATTTAATTGGTTGTCCACTGATTCCAAGATCCCGTTCACAGTTACTGCTCTTAAGCCTGGTTTCTTCCAATCTATATGTGCACTTTTGGTTTTTCTTGCCTAGGTGTAAAACTACTTTTCTCTTCACTAAATTTCATTTTGTTATTCCTGCCAGCTTAATATCATCCACAAATTTGGTAAATTCCCCTTCTATTCCCTCATCTAAGTCATTTATGAAGATACTGAAGAGTATTGAGCTTAAGATGGAACCTTGTGGTATCCCACTGCTTAGATGTAGTACCATTAAGGACTACTCACTGAGTACAGTTTGTCAGCCAGTTACAAATCCATCTGATGGTGTCTATCCCACTTTTTCTAGTTATCCCACTTTTTTCTAGCTTACTAAGAAGTAGTTTGTGGTCTACCTTATCGAATGCCACGTATATTATAACCACAGTATTTCACTGGTCTACTAATTTACTCACTATGTCAAAGAATGAAATAAGATTGGTTTGGCATGATCTGTTTTTAACAAACACATGCTGACTTCTAGTTATTACTTTACTCATTTCTAGATATCCACAGATCTATTTTTTATTATCTTTTCCAATCTCTTCCTGGACATTGGTATTTGGCTGATTAGTCTGCAGTTTCCTGGATCTGGGTTGTTGTTATTGTTTTGAAGATGGGAACCACATCAGATCTGTCCAGTCCTTTGGTAGTTCCCTGGTGCTCTAGGATTTTTGAAAGATATGGTACAGAAGTTTTGAGATGACATATGCCAACTTCTTTAGAACTCTGGGATATAATCTATCAGGTCCTGGTGATTTGTATTTATCAAGATCAGACAGGTGTTCTCTTACTATTTTTTTTTTTACATATGTTAACTTTTATTTCTGGCCTGTCTTTTATAGTTATGTTTTTGGTAGGCTGGGCTATAGTTTATTTTTGCATGGAGACCAATGAAAAGAATGAGTTAAGCCACTCTGCTTTCTCTCTGCTGCCTGTTAATTCCTTGCCATCTTCTCTCTTTAGTGGACCAACTGTTTCCTTGATTTTTCCCCCCTTGTTATTTATATGTTGAAAGAAACTTTTTTATTATTATCCTTGACTTTTTGTTGCAAGTCTTTGCTCATTCTGAGTCTTTGCTTTCCGAACTTCATCTTTGCAGATTCTGGCTATCTGCTGATATTCTG